TCCTACTTTCTCTTCTATCAGGTTCAGAATAACTGGATTTATGTTGCGGTCTTTGATCCACTTGGACTTAAGTTTTGTGCATGGTGACAGATATGGATCTATTTGCAGCCTTCTACACGTTGACATCCAGTTATGCCAGCACCATTTGTTATAGATGCTTTCTTTTCTTCATTGTACACTTTGGGCTTCTTTGTCAAAAATTATATGTTCATAGGTGTGCGGATTAATGTCAGGGTCTTCAATTCGATTCCATTGGTTCACATGTTGGTTTTTATGCCAGTACCAAGCTGTTTTTATTACTGTAGCTCTATAGTAGAGCTTGAGGTCAGGGATTGTGATGCCTCCAGAGGTTGTTTTATTGTACAGGATTCTTTTGTCTATCCTGGGGTTTTTGTTTTTCCATATGAAGTTGAGTATTGTTCTTTCCAGGTCTGTGAAGAATTGTGTTGTGATTTTGATAACGATTGCATTGAATCTGTAGATTGCTTTTGGTAAGATTGCCATTTTTACTATGTTAATCCTGCCTATCCATGAGCATGGGAGATCTTTCCATTTTCTGACATCTTCTTCAATTTCTTTTTTCAGGGACTTAAATTTCTTGTCATATAGGTCCTTCCCTTGCTTAGTTAGAGTTACCCCAAGGTATTTTATACCATTTGTGGCTATTGTAAATGGTGATGTGTCTCTGATTTCCTTCTCAGCCTGTTTGTCAATTGTATATAGGAGGGCTACTGATTTTTTTTTAGTTAATCTTGTATCCTGCTACATTGCTGAAGGTGTTTATAAGCTATATAAGTTCCTTGGTCAAATTATTGGGGTCACTCCTGTATACTATCATGTCATCTGCAAATAGCAAAAGCTTGACTTCTTCCTTTCCAATTTGTATCCCCTTGATCTCCTTTTGTTGTCTTATTGCTCTGGCTAGAACTTCAAGTACTATATTGAATAAGTATGGGGAGAGTGGACAGCATTGCCTTGTTCCTGATTTTAGTGGAATTGCTTTGCGTTTCTCTCCATTTAATTTGATATTGACTGTTGGCTTTCTTTAAATTGTTTATTGAAAGTTAATTCTGATAATTCCTTCTAGCAAATTTCAACTTTAGCCAAAATGTTGTATTCACTATTCCTGAGAATAACACTAATTTATATTTGTAAATATTTAGAAGGCAGCTGATACCATTTTCATTTTGCAAAACAATAGAAATAGATTCTCCAAGCTCTTGAGTAGATTTGAAGCACCAGTCATAAATTCTCTCCTGGTGAACAGGCCTTAAATCCAACCACAAAGCTATTGGGTATCCCCATAACAATTACTTCACTACTGTAGCAATAAGACTATCTTGCCTGACAGATTAGCATTATAGTACGCATTATCTCCTGCCTTCTAAAGTGACTGACTTTCCTTCACCAGAAGCCTCCAAAGCACCTTCCAACAATATGGAAGATAGAAGCTTCCAGCTGAGTTTCAACTTAATTTCTCTGTGCCCTCCATAAAATGTGTGTCGTTTCTTTAGCAATAAGATCTAACTACCTGGTTTCTTCAGCAATAGGTTCTAACTATCCAAGAGCAATGGCAACAGCCTGAATTGTTTGAGGGACTACCATGGCCTTCCTGATTAACAACCATATGGAGATATCCCATGCTTAACACTGGAATTTTTGTTTATTTAACCTATGGTTTCTGGGAATATCATCCACATGCACAAGATACTTCAGTTAAAACTCTTTCCTCAAAAATTGTATGTTTATTAGATTACAGAGTAATATATTTACATATGGTTTTTCATACATCCTAAATTTTGTTTAGTGCTCCTCTCTCAATGCATCACACACACACACACACACACACACACACACACACACACACACACACACACACAACAAATTATTTTCTCATGTTCATGTCCCACATCATCCTAGTTTAAACCTTTCCACTTACAGAATTTCTTTATCTACTTCCATAACAAATGTGGTCTATTATATATGTTCTACCTCCTTTTAAGGACTCTTCCCAACCCCAAAAGACCCTTTATAGCTTTCTGGCCTCTATAGACACTTCAAGTTAAATGCACAAATCTAAAGATCCAAAGCTAATCTGTGTATGGGGAAAAACATGTGGCATTCATCTTTCTGGGCTTTGGTTAACTAGTGTATTTCCCAGTTTCATGCATTTCCCTACAAATATTCCCTTATATGAACATTTTTATTATCTATTCATCAGTTGGTGGACATCTAAGCACATTTCATTTCCAGCCTATTTCAAATAGAACAATAATGAAAGTGGTCATGTCTCTGCAATAGGATTGAATCTTTTGGGTATGTCCAGTGGTGGGGCTGGGTTATATTATAGCTCTGTTTTTACCTTTTTATGAAACCTGCATGTTGAGTTCCATTGTGTCTGTACCAATTTACGTTCCTTCTACCAACAGTATATAATGGTTCCTATTCCCACACATCCTATTCAGCATTTTTTGTCATTTGTTTTCTATATGATAGCCATGGTAACTGTGGTGAGATGGAATCTCAAAATAGCATTTTTCTTTTATTTTGAGATTATAATATTATTAAATCATTTCTACCGTCCCTTTCTGTCCTTCAAATCCTCCTATATACCCTTCTTTGCTCTCTTTGAAATGCACTCATTTTTATTAATTGATGCATGGCATATATGTATATGTAAAACATATACATTCCTAAATATAACCTGCTCAGTCTATATAGTGCTATTATATGTATGTTTTAAGTAATGACCATTGGGTATTAGATAATCAATTGGTGTGCTCTTCCCTGGATAAAACTATTTGTCCTACCTTTATCATGCCTTAGTTGTCTGCAGTTCTTTGTGTAGTATTGAGGTAGCGTAGGCTTTCCCCTTCCACTTTGGCATGTCTATTGCTATTGTCCTAGTTAAGATCATGTTTTGACAATCATGTTAGTGAGACTGTGGGGGTAATTTCTGACATTACCAGAAGACATAGTCTCAAATCCCTTGATCTGGCTCCTACAATCTTTCCACCTACTCTTCCAAAATGTTCCCTGAGCCTTGGGTTCAGGAATTCTTTGATGGATATATCCATTGGGTCTGGGCTCCACAACTCTACACTTTAATTGGTTGTAGATTTCTGTACTTGGCTTCTATTATTGCAAAGAAATTTTCCTTGATAATGGGTGAGAACTACACTTATCTGTGGGTATAAGGACAAATATTTAGAGTGCAGTTAGGAATTATCCTGATTAGTAAAGTGGTGTTTGTAGTTTCTCCTCCAAGATCTATGAATTCACTAGCACTAGATAGTTGTCTAGGTGTCTAGTATCAAGCACAGTTTCTCTCTTTTTGGGTGAATCTTAAGGTCAACCTTCTGGTACTATGTAAGCTGATCCTCTGGGAGGAGACATTTAGGTGAGTTCCAGGTCAGAAGTCTCTGGGCCCTGTGAATGACTGTACAATGTCTTCAGCAATAAGGACTTATCTTACACCTCTGGTTATGGGGCAACCAAGGGCAATAGCAATAGTATGTAATATTTTGGGAGTCTCTTGGACAACCCTAACCAACAACTCAAAGGACCACTTCTCATGTCTGATGTTGGGGTTTTATTAGATGGTCTTTAGGTCTTAGAGGAAGCATTGTCAGCCCAGTTGAGAAATTTTCATAAATATATGTACATTTATATCTATAAATACATGCATATATTTATCTACAAATGTGTTTATTATAGGTTTTTTAGGTAAATAGTTAATAGGATGATTGATTATGACTTGTTCAGACATCCTTACCATTATTTTATTAGCCTTATTCTGTATTTATCTCTACCCACCCACCAATTAGAGTCCCCATTTTCCCCCATTTCTCTGATCATGTCATTGTACCCTACTATACCCTTCTCTGTTTCTCCCTGACACTGTGACCCCAACAGTGGTCCTTTTTTACCTTCCTAGTTTTTGCTGTTACCTAGGATATGTATATACATCTGAAGACTTGGAGCTAGGAGCCTTCAATGGAAGAGAATATACAATGCTTGTCTTTCTTGGTCTGGGTTACCTCACACAATAAGATCCTTCCTAGTTACATCCATTTACCTTCAAAGTTCATGATTTCATTTTCCTTTAGCAGCTGAATAGTATTACATGGTGTGTATGTACCAAATTTTCATTATTCATGAATCAGTTGAAGGGCATTTAGGTTGCTTCCATTTCCAAGTTATTGTGAATAAAGCAACAATGCACAGGGCTAAAAGAAATATATGTCAAGTCCTCTGGGCATATGACAAGGAGTGGTATAACTGGGTCAATGGTAGATTTACTGCTATCATTTTGAGAGTTCTCCACACTAATTTCCATAGTGGTTGTACCAGTTTGCAATTCTATCAACAAAGTTCTGGGTTTATTTTTTCCCACACACCCTCCAGCAATTGTTGAGAGTTGTTTTGTTGATCTTTGCCATTCTGGTTGGGGTAAAATGCAATCTCAAATGTGTTTTTTGATTTGTATCTCACTAATTGATATGGCTAGAACCTTTTTTTGAGATATTTTTAGGCAATTTTTAGAATTCTTTTTCAGGTCGCAGGCCCAATTTTTAAATAGGTCAATTGTTTTATCGATTCCTTTTCTAGTTCTTTATATATTATAAATATTAATCCTCTGTCAAATGTGTAAATAGAAAAGATTTTTTCCAAATCTATGGGCATCCTCTTCAGCAGATTATTTCTTTATTTGTACAGAAGCTTTTCAGTTTTGTGAAGTACCACTTCACAATTGTTGGCCTTAATGTTGTTGAATTGTGATGGTATTGTTTGTGCTCTCAGTGGTATTCTGTGTCTTAATAAATATGGTCTTGTATTTCTTTCCATAATCTCTTTTCTGTGCTCAATCTTCTATTCAATGCAAAATATGGCTTCCTGGTTGTTGGTTCAGTCTCTGTCAGCCCCCATGAGCCACATTAGTTGATTCTTAGTTGATTAGTATTCTTGTGGTGTCCTTGACCCCTTTGGCTCCTACAAACCTTTTTCTCGCTCTTCTTCAGATGTCACCAAGCTCCAACTAATGATGGGCTGTAGGTCTGCTGCTATTTCCATCGGTTGCTGTATGACACCTCTCTGTTGACAAATGAGCTAGGCACCAATCCTAGCACCTCCCACAGGCAGGACAGTCTATTGGTGAGAGGTTACAGATATTAATTTTTAGGCTGTTTATAATATGGTAAGCTTTTCTTACTCCTTCAATCTTGCAGATAGTTTTACTGAGTATGTTAGTATAGGTTGGCCATCCTTTTTAGGACTTGGAATGCATTAATTCATGATCTTCTGTATTTCAAAGTTTCAATTAAAAAATCATCTGTAATAAAAACAACTCTGAGATACCATCTTACACCTGTCAGAATGGCTAAGATCAAAAACACTGAAGACAGCTTATGTTGGAGAGGATGAGGAGCAAGAGGAACACTCCTCCACTATTGGTGGGAATACAAACTTGTACAGCCACTCTGGAAATCAGTATGGCAATTTCTCAGAAAATTGGAAATCACTCTTCCTCAAGACCCAGCTATACCACTCTTTGGCATATACCCAAGGAATGCTCAGTCTTACCACAAGGACACATGCTCAATTATGTTCATAGCAGCATTATTTATAATAGCCAGAACCTGGAAAAAAACTAGATGCCCCTCAACTGAAGAATGGATAAAGAAAATGTGGCACATATACACAATGGAGTACTATTCAGCAGTAAAAAAACAATGATATCATGAAATTTGCAAGCAAATGGATGAAACTAGAAAATATTATCCTGAAGGAGGTAACCCAGACTCAGAAGAACATAGTATGTACTCACTCATAAGTGGATACTAGATGTGAGGGAAGGCCAGACTGCAACACACAGCTCCAGAGAGGCTAGCTAACAGGGAAAGACCCTAGGAGCGACACATGGATGACCCTGTGAAGAAGTGGGTGAGATCTACATGAGTGGACTAGGTGTGGGGGGTGGCAGAGGGTGAGGAGTGGGGGATGAGAACATAGCAAAATGGGAGGGTCAATCTGCAACAGGGACAGAGTGGGAGGGCAGGGAGGGAGATACCATGATACATGACAACTTTATGGGAATGGGAAGAGGCAGGGCACTGGGGAGGCTCTCAGGAATCCACAAGGATGACCCCACCTTGGTCTACTGGCAGTGGTCCAGAGGGTGCCTGGACTGGTCTACTCTGGTGACCAGTCTAGTGAATACCCTAACTGTCATCATAGAGCCTTTGTCCAGTGACTGATGGAGGCAGATGCAGAGATCCATGGCCAGGCACCAGGCTAAGCTCCAGGAATCCAATTGATGAGAGAGAGGAGGGATTCTGCAGGTGAGGGATGTCGAGATCATGATGGGAAGACATGCAGAGATGACTGGCCACACTAGTGGAAACCCATGAACTGTGGACTGGAGGCTGTGGAGCCCCCATAGGACTGGACTAGGCCCTCTGGATACAGAAGATGGTTGTTTGGCTTGAACTGTTTGGGGGGCACCCAGGCAGGGGGATTGGGGTCTGTCCCTGGTGCATGGGCAGGCTTCTGGGAGTCTGGTGCCTGTGGTGTGATGCCTTGCACAGCCTTGGTGCAGTGGGAAGGGGCTTGGACCTGCCTAGGCTCAGTGAGCCGGGCTCGGCTGACTCCCCATGGGAGACCTTGATTTGGGGGATGTGAGGATGTGTGGTGGCTTGGAAGAGAGGGCTGGAGGGTGGGAGGATGGAGGAGGGGGATCTGTGGGTCATATGTGGAGTGAGTAGAAAATTTCTTAATAAAGAGAAATGAAAAATCAGCTGTTATTCTGATGGGTTTTTCTTTATATGTGGGTGGTACTTTTTTTTTCTCTTGCAGTTTTCAACACACTTTCTTTGTTATTTATCCTAAGTACTTTAATTACATAATTGATATGTCTTGGGGATTTTTCTTTTCTGGTCTTGTCCATTTTGTGTTCTATAGGCTTCTTATATCTGTGTCTTTCCTTAGTTTGGTGATGTTTTCTTCTATGATCTTCTTGAAACTATTGTTTATTGACTTGGGATTCTTCACCATCATTTATGCCTATAATTTGAAGGTTTGTTTTGTTCATGGTGTCCTACATTTCCTGTCTGCTCCTTTCCTACATGTTTTGTTGTTGTTGTTGTTGTGTGATATTTTGATCACATTATGACAATAAAGTTTCCCTTTAGTAGAGGGTAGAGCTAGCCACTAGCTGACCAAAATTATCCATAGTGGCCTTGAAGGACTGAGGACAGATTGGAGACAGGAACTAGTAGGGTGGGGCTAAGAGAGGAGCAGAGCCCTTTTGGATTGAAGATCAGGAAAGAGAGCAGGTTACTGGTGGGTCACTGGTAGCTTCTCCATTGCTTCTCTCATCATTCAGGTTCTTATCCCAACAACTTATCCCTGATTTTTTATTGATAAGTAATAATTATAATTTTTGTAATAATAATAATAAATGCTTCACCTGGCATCCAACATGGACCACAGAATTATAAGACAGCTGCTTGCCCCTGGCTTCTCAGTCACTGCAGCCATCAGAATTGGCTGGCTTTTCTTCCCTTGCCCCAAACCCTCTGAGAGAGTCTGGGATTTTCCTGTTGCAGTCTCTCTACAACTGCCTCCAGCTGTGGCTCAAACTCCACATTTCCCAAACTCTACAGGTGCTGGGGCTCCAAATGCTGGAGTTAAGTACCCATGACCAGCCAGGTCTACCATCAAGCAGCTCCCACTACATATGCTTCTTCTACATGTTCCCCTGTCTCCACTTTTCAGATGGCTGGCTCCTTGGTTCATTCTCCCTATCAGATGCGGGCTTCCCCCTGCACCCCCTCTTTGGGCTGCTGCCACACTAGGTTTGCCACCTCCACACCCACTTGGGCTTCTGCTGTTTTTTCAACCTCCACACACTCTCACAGCTACATATGAGCAGATACAGCTGCCTGCAACCAGACTCTGCACCGTGTCTCTGCCCAACTGTGCAGCAGCAGCCAGCCACACACTTCACTGTCATTGTCAACAGACCTGGTGAGACAACATGTAGCAGGAATCTTAAAGGGTCTTATTTATAAAAATCAAACCCAGAGCCAGGTATTGGAGTGAATGCTGGAAGATCAGAGAAGCAGAACAAGCCACAGCCACCTCACCTTGCCAGTTCCTCAGCTGATCCTGTTTCCTCAGACTGGAAGTCTCTGAGTCCTCATCCAGAATGAATCTCAGCTGAACTGTGCTGCTCAAAAGCCTAAAAGCTTAACTGACTAAAAGCTTCTGGTTCCTGGTTTTCACACCTTATATACCTTTCTGCTTTCTGACATCACTTCCTGGGATTAAAGGCTCACTTCCTGGGATTAAAGGTGTGAGTCACCATGCTTGGCTGTTTCCAGTGTGGCCTTAAACTCATAGAGATCCAGATGGATCTCTGCCTTCCAAGTGATAGGATTAAAGGTGTGTGTTCCACCATTTTCTCACCTCTATATCTAGTGGCTGTTCTGTTCTCTGACCCCAAATGAGTTTATTAGGGTGCACAATATTTTGGGGAACACAATACCACCACAAAAACTGGGAATTCTTAAGGGGATAATTATTTTTTTAAAAAAAGAAAGAAAGAAAGAAAGGTTTTCTTTCTCATGTTAAAAATGGGAAGCAATATTACAATGTAGGGAGTTAAGTCTCTGTAGGATGGTTTGATAATGGAATAATTAAATGAAGAGATAATTAACTTAGCTGGGATTTACATAATGTCAAATGTAATCATTTTCAGTTTGGTAATTCTTGTTTTATCCCTTTAAAAGTTGGTTGAGCCGGGCGGTGGTGGCGCACGCCTTTAATCCCAGCACTCGGGAGGCAGAGCCAGGCGGATCTCTGTGAGTTCGAGGCCAGCCTGGGCTACCAAGTGAGTCCCAGGAAAGGCACAAAGCTACACAGAGAAACCCTGTCTCGAAAAACCAAAAAAAAAAAAAAAGAAGTTGGTTGATATCAGTGCCAAATACAAAAAAAAAATTGACTGATAAGATCCTTAGAAAACAGACAAATTGAACTAAGAAAAATATTAACACAGAGACAGAGAAGTTTAGAACAGAAGTTACCACACTATTGCATAATGAAACTGAAGAGAAGCATTCCAAGATTAATTTATCTAGTTACCATTCAGGAATGACCACAAAATGATAGCCATCCCAAGGCTATTCAGAAGTTAACTGGGGTCCAATAGAAATGTTAGATTTGAAGAGATTGAAAAAAGCAATAGTTTCTTATGGTGTGCATTCGCTTTTGTGAAGCAGATGTTAAATTCGTGGGCCACTCAGAATAGAATTATTCCACAAGACTAGAAACATTTAGTTACAGCAGTATTGGAAGCTATTCCTCAGTTACAGTGGAGGAACTGGTGGAGAGATGAAGCTAGGGCCTCAAACAGCAAGGTAGTGTTAGAGGTTATGAGATTTCCCAAGATCAAATCCTCGGTGAGGGCCATTATACTGATGTGGAAAAATATATGATAATCATACCTTGGCCCTATGCCATACAGCAGCTTTGAATGCTTTGGACAAGATTGAAGAAACAGGAAAAAGGACCAAGCCATTTACTAAAATTATATAAGGCCCAAAAGAAGCCTTCACTGATTTTTTTTACAAAGATTGACTTCAGCTGTAAATAGAATGATGTCAGAACTAGAAGTCAGAAGAATATTAATTGAAACTTTGGTTTTTAAAAATGCTAATTCAGAATGTAAAAGGATTATTAGGCCTTTAAAGGCAAGATCAGGGCCCATAGATGATAGATTGGAAATACAATTGATACTGAATCTCACAACAAAGGCCAACTTTGGACTAACCAATGCAGATCAACTTGGGACAGGTAATGTAACACTTTGACATTGGGAAACATCATTGGGGGCCTGAGGCCCCTGTATCAAATTTGGTTCAATCATTCCCTGTCAGCAATGGGGAAACTCCTCCACAGATCAATTAAAAGACTTAATGCCTGTTATGGAAAAACCATACTGTTCTGAATGACAGAACAGATTTAGAAGATAAAACAAAATTTTCAGGAGAAATCATAAAGCAAATATTTTG